GTTTTTTTTTGGATAATCATCTCTAAAAATACCTTTATTTGTAGAAATAAGATTTATTAGGATATGCATCTCCAAAATTAAGTAGTTTATGGAAAAAAGGTGTGTTCAGAGATGTATCCTTGGAAAAGTTTATCCATTTTTATGGGCATTTTTCCAAGGAATAGACGTGCTCGGCAGTCTCTTTTGAAAACTGGAATCGACCAACATGAAGTTTCTTAGGGTAAATTTTAGTCTAAATTAATATTTTAATTTGGATGTGTTTTTATTCTTTCTAATTTATCCCCATACTATAACTTTTACAATAAATTTATGTAGATCTTAAAGAAGAAGACATGATTAGCTTTACCAAATTGCTTATGTGGTCTTTGGACAACAATTCAAATGCCAGTTAGTTGTTAGCCCAGATTTTCTGTAGACATGATGGAACTGAAAAAGCAGGGCTTATAACATCATGTTAGTGGTTCAAATAAAGACACCTTCTTCACCACTTTTTCTCAAATTCTCCTCCAAGCTCTGGGAGAGGAATGAGTTCCTAAAAGGAGCACCTTCTTTCTCCAAAGAAAATTTTGATTCCATGATTTCAAAGAATACGAAGGGTAAGGGAGATATGTGGGGACAAAACCACCCTAAAAACCTTATATTCCTTGTTTTTCTATTTTATTTGATTTATTTTCCATTTTCATATTTTCAATAAAAAATACGGATAAATTTGTACACACTTAATTAGATATTTGTTGGTTTTTAGTTGTATTTTAAGATTTTTATAATTTTATTTTAATGGTTTTACTATTATCCAATTATTTTTATGAAGGGGATAAAATTGTTGGTAATTACATATTTGTTGCATTGCTGATGCATGGTTACTAGGTGTGACGACCCGAATACATCAAATTCTAAGTTTAAGAAACACGTCAGGGAACTTTTTGGATATACATAGTTGTTAATACATTTTTTCGTAAAAAATATGTTTTATTCGAAGGTGTATATCCGAAAATACATTTTTCGTAAAAAATAAGGTTTATTCTGATCCATATCTTTAAAAAAACCTTTATTCATAAAAAATAAGGTTTATTGGGATATGCATCTCCATAATTGAGTATTTTTTGGAAAATGTGTGTTTAGAGATGTATCCTTGGATAAGTATATCCACTATTATAGGCCACTTTTTCCAAGGAATAAACGTGCTTAGCAATCTCTTTTGGAAACTAGAATTGACCAACATGAAGTTTCTCTTTGTAAATGTTAGTCTAAATTGTTATTTTAATTTGGATTTGTTTTATTCTATCTTATTTATACTTATACTACAACTTTTACTATAAACTGATGTAGATCTTAAAGCGGAAGACAAGATTTGCTTTACAAAATTGCTTATGTTGTCTTTGGACAACCATCCACATGTCAGTTATTTGTTAGCTTGGATTTTTTGTAGACATGATGGAACTGAAAAATCAAGGGTTAAAACATCATATTGGTGGTTCAAACAAAGACACCTTCTTCGCCGCTTTTACTCAATTTGGCCTCCAAGGTCTGGGAGTGGAATGAGTTCCTCAAAGGAGCACCTGCTTTCGACAAAAATATGGTGATTCCATGATTTCAAAGGATAAGATGGGTAAGAGGGCTATGTGGTACACCATCATAAAAACCTTAAATTCCTTGTATTTCTATTTCATTTTATTTATTTTCCATTTTCATTTTTATGAAAAAAATCCTGAATATTTTATGGACACTTAATTTGATTTTATTTGATTTTTTGTTGTATTTTTAGATTTTTATAATTTTATTTTAATTGTTTTACTATTTTCCAATTGTTTTTATCAATTGGGAAATTATTGGTAATTACATGTTTGTTAAATTGCTGATGCACGACTACTAGGTGTGTCGATCCAGATACATCATATACTATGTTAAAAAAACACAACATGGAACTTTTTGAATATGCATATTTGTTAATACATTTTTTCATAAAAACTAAGCTGTATTCGGAGATGCATATCCGAAAATACATTTTTTCGTAAAAAATAAAGTTTATTTGGATATGCATCTATGAAAATACCATTATTCGTAAGAATAAGGTTTATTAGGATATGCATCTCCGAAGTTAAGTATTTTGTGGGAAAAAGGTGTGTTCAGAGATGTATCCTTGGAAAAGTTTATCCATTTTTATGGGCATTTTTTTCCAAGCAATAAACGTGCTCGACAGTCTCTTGTGGAAATTGGAATCGACCAACATGAAGTTTCTTAGGGTAAGTTTTACTCTAAATTGATATTTTAATTTGGATGTGTTTTTATTCTTTCTCATTTATCCTTATACTGCAACTTTTACTATAAACTAATATAGATCTTAAAGCAGAAGACATGATTAGCTTTACCAAATTGTTTATGTGGTCTTTGGACAACCATTCACATGCCAAGTATTTGTTAGCCCAGATTTTTTGTAGATATGATGGAACTGAAAAAGAAGGGGTTATAACATCATGCTGGTGGTTCAAACAAAGACACCTTCTTCGCCACTTTTTCTTAAATTCGCCTCCAAGCTCTGGGAGGTGAATGACTTCCTAAAAGGAGCACCTGTTTTATCCAAAAAAAATTTGATTCCATGATTTCAAAGAATACGAAGGGTAAGGGGGCTATGTGGGGACAAAACCACCCTAAAAAGCCTAAATTCTTTTTTTCCTATTTTATTTGATTTATTTTTCGTATTCATATTTTTGAAAAAAATACGGAAAAATTTGTAGACACTGAATTAGATATTATTTTATTTTTAGTTGTATTTTATGATTTTTATAATTTTATTTTAATCATTTTACTATTTTTCCAATTGTTTTGATCAATAATGTAATTGTTGGTAATTTCATATTTGTTGCATTGTTGATGAATGGTTACTAGGTGTGCCAATTCGGATACATCAAATTCTAAGTTTAAAATAACATGACAAAGAACTTTTCGAATATGCATATTTGTTAATACATTTTTTCGTAAAAAATAAGGTTTATTCGGAGGTGCATATCCGAAAATACATTTTTCGTAAAAAAATAAGGTTTATCGGATATGCATCTCTGAAAAAACCTTTATTCATAAAAAATAAGGTTTATTGGGATATGCATCTCCGTAATTAAGTATTTTGTGGAAAAAATGTGTGTTCGGAGATGTATCCTTGGAAAGGTTTATCCACTATTATAGGCAATTTTTTCCAAGGAATAGACGTGCTCAACAGTCTCTTTTAGAAACTAGAATCAACCAGCATGAGGTTTCTCTTTGTAAATGTTAGTCTAAATTGATATTTTAATTTGGATGTGTTTTATTATATCTAGTTAAGTCTTATACTGCAACTTTTACTATAAACTGATGTAGATCTTAAAGCAGAAGACAAGATTTGCTCTACCAAATAGCTTAAGTGGTCTTTGGACAATGATCCAAATGCCAGTTATTTGATAGCTTGGATTTTCTATAGACATGACGGAACTGAAAAAGCAAGGGTTAAAACATCATGCTGGTGGTTCAAACAAAGACACATTCTTCGCCGCTTTTACTCAAATTGGCTTCCAAGGTCTGGGAGTGGAATGAGTTCCTCAAAGGAGTACATGCTTTATCCGAAAAAAATGTTAATTCCATGAGTTCAAAGATTAAGAAGGGTAAGAGGGATATGTGGTACACCACCATAAAAACCTTAAATTCATTCTATTTCTATTTTTTTTATTTTCTGTTTTCGTATTTTTGGAAACATTCCAGAAATAGTTGTAGACACTTAATTTGATTTTTTTTATATTTTTAGTTGTATTTATAGATAATCATTTTACAATTTCTTATTGTTTTTATCATTAGGGAAATTGTTGGTAAGTGCATAATTGTTGCATTGCTGATGCACGACTACAAGGTGTGTCGATCCGGATACATCATATACTAAGTTTAAAAAAACACAACGGGGAAGTTTTCAGATATGGATATTTATTAATACATTTTTTTCCTAAAAAGTAAGGTTTATTCCGAGGTGCATATCCGAATATACATTTTTTCGTAAAAATAAAGTTTATTTGGATATGCATACACTACGCCAAATAAGCTATTTAATAGCGCTTTTTTTTTTGTTTTTGATAGCGCTTAAAAGTGCTATTAACCGCGCCACTATTGTAAATATTTCTTATTTAATAGCACTTTAAAAGCGCTATTAAAGTACCAATTTATAATAGCGTTTTAATTAAAGTGCTATCAAAGTCAGTATTTTGCATGTTTTTTGTTTGTTTTTTTATAGCACTCTAAACAAAAAGCGCTAATATATAACATATGTTTGATAGCGCTTTCAAATAAAGTGCTAATAAATGGTACATATTTGGTACAATATTTTTAATAAGTACAGTACAATATTTTTTCTTACACAATCATTTTTTTTGGTGTAAATATAAAATAACTATATTCAATTCAACATAAATAACGCTTTAAGTTACTCATTGCATATATATTATGATCCATCAAATACCAAATAACATTTTAAATTACCAAATCCTATTGTTTCCAAATATCATAACATATATAGAATATTAAGAGGGCGTTTGCATAGCCAAATTTGTAGATGCCCATCTATGAGTACTTCAATCCAAATCCAAAAACATACAATCAAATTCTCTAAACAAAACACCAAAAAAATAAGAAAGGATAACAAAACAATCCCATGTAGTAACCACCTTCATGATCCAAAAGCGTTGAACTCATAGATACAATCACTAATTAGGCAAAATAATTGCTTCTTGTTTTCCTGTATCATAGAAGGAATATTGATTATGTATTGTACAATAAAAACTAATTCAACATATAAAGAATAATCAAACATTTAATATGGGTCTAACAAGAAGCGCATAAAATAAGGAATGATTATTATAAACTAATAACAATAAATCGATATAACTAATGCAATAATTGAACTAATTAAGTCTAACAAGAACATGACTTGTAACTAATGTATATTGTGTTGCAATGTGAATATAACAAACCTGGCACATAAAGTTTTAGTAAAACTGGGACATTAAAGAGTACTGAAGAAAGACTTCGTTTTGGCAAATCAACAAATTCATTCCCCACCCCTGTGAACAAAATGAAGGAAAACATGGTCCGGGGTGATGGACAGTAGCTCCAGTTGAACAAAAAATGTTCTTTAATGATGCTCCATAACTAAGTCATAGTAGTAAAATAGCAAGCAAGAAATAAATGTAGCAGCTTTAATTGTCATAAGATGAAGTTTTGGCAAAATTATTCATTTTTTGGCCTGATATCATCAACATAAACCCAAACTATGGTTTCGCATGCTATAGCACAAAGTTTATCATAAGAGTAACTGACAATACTATGCCAACTGCATGCAGTTTGTAATGTAAGAAGATGATGAGGCAAGAAAATATAAGGAATGAAAAATAGAAATAAAAAAGCCTGCAAAGAAAGGAATCAGGCTATAAGTTACTAATTTCATGGGTTAGGATACTGATATCCAAGAAGAACCTCAGGAGACCTATAGTATCGACTCTGCACAAGAAACAGGTAATACATGTAACGTAAGTACCAAATAATTATAACTAAAACAGGAGTTTCATAAAATTCTACTTTTGACAGTGAATGTATACCTGAATATAGGAATACACAGTGCGGTTTTCCATGCATGCTGATCCAAAGTCAATAATCTTTATTTCTGTTTGATTCGCACTGCTGGGCACAAAACAAGGGCTAAATAAAATCTCAAAATGAAATAGCTGCAGCATACACGCAAAGTTAACAAAAATAGCTGCAGCATATAGTTCTTTATGAGCATCTTCATGTAAGAAACCAACCTCGCACATAAAAGGATGTTTTCTGGCTTCAGATCACAATGAATAATGCCAGCATCTTTTAATAGAGCCAGTCCACATAAAATCTTAAAACATAAGTTTAAGAAAATAGATTATGATGAGATAAGATATCAAAACCAGCAAAAAAGGACTAAAGAGCTTAGCCACACAGAACTGGCATACCTGCTTAGAGAACAGCTGAACAATACCAAGTGACAATCCCCTAAAATGATTCATTTTGATAAGCTCATACCTGTATACTATATCATGTCAATACCAAAATATGCAAGAGGGAGGGATAAAAATTCTAGGGCAGCATCATTGCATAATTCATCCAAGATTTTTAGTTCAGTTGAAATTGAACATCATCCGAGTTCTGATACATTCCCATTGATGAAAGCCAGACAAGTATCAAACAGAAAAGAAGATAACAACTTACAGGTTTGTGTCCAGCAATTCAAAGCATATGCACAAATGCCGTTGATATACAAAATAATCAAATATACGAACAATGTGATGCTTATCCTCAGGATCGTACTTCTTATTTAACTACAGGAAAAAAAGTGACTCTTCCTGAGAATCTTCTCATTGTTACATCTTAATAATGATAATAATATTAATAATAACTGGTTACCGTTGTTAAAATAGTTACTTCAACCAGCGCCTGTTGATAATACGCAGGTTGATTTTTAATGATCTTCACAGCAACAAAACTGTTGGTATCGGAATCCCAGCATTTGGCCACTTGTCCAAATGTCCCGTGGCCAAGGAGATCTTTGACAGTATATCTACACCATAACAGAATGTAAGTTATATGAAGTAGAGATTTTGCCAGTGATTAATGTGACACCTTTGGTATCCCCATAAAATCAACAAGTGTTGGTATTCGTTAAGCATATATAATTATTACATGGAATGAAGAAACAAAACATGTATGACTAACCTTCTACTTTTCTCTACATGGATCAAGACCAAATTCACTGTCAGAATAAGATCTGAGTTTAGATTATCATAGCCATCATTAAGCACTCCAGTAGATGGACTGGTCAAAAATCTCTTTGGATTTAGATCTTCGGAATATTTAAACTGTGGATTGCATATTTGATATGTTTCAACTATTTCCTTGGTCAATCTTGCCACCAACTGCAAATTTAGTAGTTGAGCACCAATTGAAATTTTTCAGTACTCTAAGCTCCAAACAGTCGCATTAATTAGAAATAAAAATTAGAGATAGCAGTGATCTCTCTCTGTATATCTATCTATATGTGTGCACGCACATGCACATATTAGCATTTACCTACTTCCTAGAAAGACTATTCTAGTGAGTATATCTTCTAACTGATCTTCAGTTAGAACATGCTTTAGTTGCCAACAAAGTTCTCAAGTAAATCACATCATCAGCACACCAACACACAAAGAAAGCAAATCCTACAAATGACTCCGCCCACGTGTATGCATCTCAAACTCCACATCAACGCACAAATCAAGGCGAGCCAGAGCTTTAAAGAAAAGCCTGGGAACTAAAACAGAGCTCAAACAGGTAAAAAAGGACTGGGAAGAAAGTGCCAATTCAATATAGGAATGAATGGTTGAAAAAGAACAAGTGCAAATGTATTCCTTTGCAGAGTCTAAACATGTTTTGTTTTAAAATATGCATTTAAAAATCCACGACCACCTCACACAGGCTTTTAAGGGGCGTAGTCTTAGCCCACATTGTAAACAATGTAATTTATGTAAATGCTCTTTTATTAGGATAGTTAGTTATCACATATTGAAAGAGATTTTGTTTTAGACAGCTACTGAAGTAGTTGGGTCAATAATATATTGAAATGGTTCATACACGAAATCACCAATCAATAATACTGTAATACTGTTTTCATTAATAGTCATCTGATTTCATGTTGGTAGAAAGGCTTCCGGTCTGCAAGACTTATCTACCATAATGCCTTCATTACACCTGCACTCGATACTCCCACTGATGCATTCATTGAGTTCAGGATAATCTCTGAACACCAAACCAGCCATTGTCAACACCTGCCATTGCAAAAACTATGTCCAACAAACTCACAAGGTGATCACCCCCAATTCAATCAAATACTAGAGATATACCATCAGCCATCATCACATGTGCCATCCCGTATTCAAAAATGTCAGACTCATGTGCCTCCTTCTAGCCACAATTAATAACAACATCAATTCCCTAAGCTTGAATGGTTCTACTATAATATCTAAGGGGTCATGGGTTACTGACTCAGGTACTTTTACAACTAACAATATGAGATTCCATTCCCCGTGTCATTTTGTTGTATTACCCCACTTTAAATAAACATCACTTGACCAGCCGTACCTTACATGATGATTTGGATACCTCCCGGCAACATTAAACCTCAAATTGGCCATTAGCCTCTAATCCAATCCAACCAGATAAGACAACAAAATCAGATAAACCAGAACATCACAAAAGAGAAACTGAATAGTTAACTGACGTGAGGATGGATAATCAAGTCAAATGCTTCTTGAAGACATTAACTGAAAAAAACATTGACTAAGGGGATACAAGGAAGCGTTTGATGGATCTTATAAATATCAACCTAGGAATGATAGACATTCATAGATAGGAGTTTTTACTTTTTTACTTTTTGGCCATCCAACATTGACATTACTGGTTTGAAGAAATCTCTCCGACTAACTCCTCAAACCGGATTACCTACCGCCGAGAGAACTCTCAACTCACCCACAAAAAAAAAAAAAAACACTTCCGAGTCAAAATACTGTCAAAGCAAAAATTCCTTCACAACACACATGAACATTTCCTAAAACACAAACTAATTCCAAACCACAAACTAATACAATAACAACAATGACAAAATAAATAACCAAAATCACCAACAAAAAGAAACAAACTTACAGGCTTCCTAACAAGTGCACGATACTTTGAGGATTTCCCAGCAGCATTAACTCGTTTATCTTCTTTTTGTTGCTGCGGCACAAAAGGAGCAAAAGCAAGCTCCCTGGGACAGCATCCTGATGAAGAGGAAGACGACGCCGTTTCAACAAACGTAGCTCTGGACTGAGTCTGCTCCGCTTCACTACTACAACTACTACTACCTCCATGTCTAACCTCATCCATCACCCAAACAGCAAAAGAAACAGACCCAACCAGACCCTAATTTTCAATTCCAACTCACAAATTCCCTGTTCAAATTCCAATTCCAATTCCACTTTCATTACTAACTCATTACATAAATTAAATAAAAAAGGACTTATAGTGAAGAAACTAACCCAAATTTTTGCAAAAACTACGCTACGATTCTGAGGTATTCACCGACGGATTTTAATCCCATCGCGAAATTGAACCTTCAGAATCATAGTGTTTTTTGTTTTTGGCGGTGAGTGTTTTTTTATCAATTAATTAATTAATTCATTATTATATATAACATAGCGCTTTTTAATAAATGCTATTATATAGGTAGTCAAATAATAGCGTTTTATACAAAATGCTATCTTAAAGAAGTTTAATAATAGCGTTCTGGTACAAAGTGCTATCATAATTACATAGTCTGTATTATATAATAGCGCCCGATTAAAAAGTGCTATTATAAATGTGTTTTTTCCATTTTAATAGCATTTTTTTTAAAAGTGCTATTAAATTAGGTGATACAAAAAATCATTTTTGGCGTAGTGATATCTGAAAATACCTTTATACATAAAAGTAAGGTTTATTGGGATATGCATCTTCGAAGTTAAGTATTTTGTGGAAAAAGGTGTGTTCAGAGATGTATCCTTGGAAAAGTTTATCAACTGTTATGGGCATTTTTTCAAGGAAATATAGACGTGCCAGGCAATCTCTCTTGGAAACTGGAATTGACCAACATGAAGTTTCTCAGGGTAAATTTTAGTCTAAATTAATATTTTAATTTGGATTCTTTTTTATTTATCCTTATATTGCAACTTTTACTATAAACTGATGTAGATGTTAAAGCCGAAGACAAGATTAGCTCTACCAAATTTCTTATGTGGTATTTGGACAACCATCCACATGCCAATTATTTGTTAGCCTGGATTTTCTGTAGACATGATGGAGCTGAAAAAGCAGGGGTTATAACATTGTGCTGGTGGTTCAAACAAAGAACCCTTATTCGCCACTTTTTCTCAAATTGGCCTCCAAGCTTTTGGAGTGGAATGAGTTCCTAAAAGGAGCACCTACTTTCTCTAAAGAAAAAGTTGATTCTATGATTTCAAATAATACGAAGGGTAAGGGGGCTATGTAGGGACAAAACCACCCTAAAATCTTTAAATTTTTTGCTTTTGTATTTTATTTGATTCATTTTTTGTTTTCATATTTTCGAATAAAATCCAGAAAAATTTGTAGACACTTAATTTGATATTATTTGATTTTTAGTTGTATTTTAAGATTTTTATAATTTTAATCGTTTTACTATTTTCCAATTGTTTGTTTCAATAGGATAATTGTTGGTAATTACATTTTTGTTGCATTGTTGATGCATGGTTATTAGGTGTGCCAATCCGGATACATCAAATACTAATTTTAAAAAAACACAACAGGGAACTTTTTGAATATGCATATTTGTTAATACATTTTTCATAAAAAATATGGTATATTCGGAGGTGCATATCCGAAAATACTTTTTTTCGTAAAAAATAAGGTTTATTCGGATATACATCTCTGAAAAAAGCTTTATTCGTAAAAAAATAAGGTTTATTGGGATATGCATCTCTGTAATTAAGTAGTTTGTAAAAAAATGTGTGTTCAGAGATGTATCCTTAGAAAAGTTTATCCACTGTTATGGGCATTTTTTCCAACGAATAGACGTGCTGAACAGTCTCTTTTGGAAATTAGAGTCGACCAACATGAAGTTTCTCTTTGTAAATGTTAGTCTAAATTGATATTATAATTTTTGATGTGTTTTATTCTATCTCATTTATACATATACTGCAATTTTTACAATAAACTGATGTAGATCTTAAAGCGGAAGACAAAATTTACTCTAACAAATTGCTTATGTTGTCTTTGGGCAACGATCCACATGCCAGTTATTTGATAGCCTAGATTTTCTATAGACATGACAGAACTGAAAAAGAAAGGGTTAAAACATCATGCGGGTGGTTCAAACAAAGACAACTTCTTCTCCGCTTTTACTCAAATTAGCCTCGAAGATCTGGGAGTGGAATGAGTTCCTCAAAGGAGCACCTGCTTTATCCAAAAAATTGTTGATTCCATGAGTTCAAAGATTAAGAAGGGTAAGAGGGCTATGTAGTACATCACCATAAAAACCTTAAATTCCTTGTATTTCTATTTTATTTTTTTTATTTTCTGTTTTCATATTTTTTGAGAAATTCCAGAAAAAGTTGTAGAAACTTAATTTGATTTTTATATTTTTAGTTGTATTCATAGATTTTTATAATTTTATTTTAATCGTTTTACAATTTCCTATTGTTTTTATCAATTGGGAAGTTGTTGGTAATTGCATATTTGTTGCATTGCTGATGCATGGCTACTAGGTGTGTCGATCCAGATACATTATATACTAAGTTAAAAAAACACAACGGGGAACTTTTCGGATATGCATATTTGTTAATACTTTTTTTTGTAAAAAGAAAGGTTTATTCGCAGGTGCATATCCGGAAATACATTTTTTCGTAAAAATAAAGTTTATTTGGATATGCATCTATGAAAATACCTTTATACATAAAAATAAGGTTTATTGGGATATGCATCTTTGAAGTTATGTATTTTGTGGAAAAAAGGTGTGTTCAAAGACGTATCCTTGGAAAAGTTTATCCATTGTTATGGGCATTTTTTCAAGGAAAAATAGATGTGCCATGCAATCTCTCTTGGAAACTGGAATCGACCAACATGAAGTTTCTCAGGGTAAATTTTAGTCTAAATTAATATTTTAATTTGGATGTGTTTTTCTTCTTTTTTATTTATCCTTATATTGCAACTTTTACTATAAAATGATGTAGATCTTAAAGCTGAAGACAAGATTAGCTTTACCAAATTGCTTATGTGGTCTTTGGGCAACCATCCACATGCCAGTTATTTGTTAGCCTGGATTTTCTGTAGACATGATGGAGCTAAAAAAGTAGGGGATATAACATTGTGCTGGTGGTTCAAACAAAGACCCCTTATATGCCGTTTTTTCTCAAAATGGCCTCCAAGCTCTTGGAGTGGAATGAGTTCTTAAAAAGAGCACCTACATTCTCCAAAGAAAAAGTTTATTTCAAATAATACGAAGGGTAAGGGGGCTATGTGGGGACAAAACCACCCTAAAATCTTTAAATTCCTTGCTTTTGTTATTTTATTTGATTCATTTTTCATTTTCATATTTTCGAATAAAATCCAAAAAAACTTGTAGACACTTAATTTTATATTATTTGATTTTTAGTTGTATTTTAAGATTTTTATAATTTTAATCGTTTTACTATTTTCCAATTATTTTTTTCAATAGGATAATTGTTGGTAATTACATTTTTGTTGCATTGCTGATGCATGGTTATTAGGTGTGCTGATCCGGATACATCAAATACTAAGTTAAAAAAAACACAACAAGGAAATTTTCGAATATGCATATTTGTTAATACATTTTTCGTAAAAAATATGGTATATTCCGAGGTGCATATCCGAAAATACATTTTTTTCGTAAAAATTAAGGTTTATTTAGATATACATCTCTGAAAAAACCTTTATTCATAAAAAATAAGGTTTATTGGGATATACATCTTCGTAATTAAGTATTTTATGGAAAAATGTGTGTTCAGAGATGTATCCATGGAAAAGATTATCCACTCTTATGGGCAATTTTTTCCAAGGAATAGACGTGCTCAACAGTCTCTTTTGGAAACTGGAATCGACCAACATGGAGTTTCTCTTTGTAAATGTTAGTCTAAATTGATATTTTAATTTGGATGTGTTTTATTCTATCTCATTTATCCTTATAATGCAACTTTTACTATAAACGGATGTAGATCTTAAAGCAAAAGACAAGATTTGCTCTACCATATTGCTTATGTGGTCTTTGGAAAACATTCCACATGCCAGTTATTTGATAGCCTGGATTTTCTATAGACATGACGGAACTGAAAAACCAAGGGTTAAAACATCATGTTGGTGGTTCAAACAAAGACACCTTCTCCGCAATTTTTACTCAAATTGGCCTCCAAGGTCTGGGAGTGAAATGAGTTCCTCGAAGGAGCGTCTACTATCTTCGAAAAAGATGTTGATTCCATGAGTTCAAAGAATAAGAAGGGTAAGAGGGCTATATGGTACACCATCATAAAAACCATAAATTCCTTGTATTTCTATTTTATTTATTTTATTTTATGTTTTCATATTTTTGAAAAAAATCCTGAAAAAGTTGTAGTCACTTAATTTGATTTTTATTTTATTTTAATCTTTTTACAATTTTCCAATTGTTTTTATCAATAGGGAAGTTGTTGGTGATTGGATATTTGTTGCATTGCTGATGCACAACTTCTAGGTGTGTCGATCCGGATACATCATATACTAAGTTAAAAAAACACAACGGAGAACTTTTTGGATATGCATATATTTGTTAATACATTTTTTTTTTGTAATAAATAAGGTTTATTCGGTTGTGAATATCCAAAAATACATTTTTTCGTAAAAAATAAAGTTTATTTGGATATGCATCTTTGAAAATACCTTTATTCGTGAAAATAAGGTTTATTGGGATATTCATCTCCGAATTTAAGTATTTTGTGGAAAAAAAGGTGTGTTTAGAGATGTATCCTTGGAAAAGTTTATGCACTGTTATGGGCATTTTTTTCAAGGGAAAATAGACGTGCCATGCAATCTGTCTTGGAAATTTGAATCAACCAACATGAAGTTTCTCAGGGTAAATTTTAGTCTAAATTAATATTTTAATTTGGATGTCTTTTTCTTCTTTCTCATTTATCCTTATATTGCAACTTTTACTATAAACTTATGTAGATCTTCAAGCCGAAGACAAGATTAGCTTTACCAAATTACTTATGTGGTCTTTGGACAACCATCCACATGCCAGTTATTTGTAAGACTGGATTTTCTGTAGACATGATGGAGTTGAAAAAGCCGGGGTTATAACATTGTGTTGGTGGTTCAAACAA